ATATATATATATATATATATATATATATATATATATATATTCAGTATTGCAGATGCAAATTCTTACTTCACTTTCATTTGAGCCACTGAAATTATTAGAAAGCTGCCCTCAAATATACATGCTCCATGACAAGGCCACGCACACGAGGGAAGCACCAAATGTAGATATTGCTATACCCTACCATTTTCTTGACCACCGATATTAATTAATATTAGCATACGTGCATGCAATGTATATGTGTTACTATCTAATATAACCGTTTCAATCAATCCTTAGCTTTTCACCATCAACTTTTTCGGTGGTTGAAAAAACATTTTTCTGTGTTAATTGTAGGTGCATGCATGAATGAGTTATAATTCTATGTAACCACTTGCATGCACGAGAGCTAGAGATTAGAATAGACAATGTAATGTCCTTTATAGGTACGTACCCAAAAAATTCAAGAAAGAATCGACAATGTGATCTTAAGTCTACTTCAAGAGACAGTGAGAAATATATCAAGTATGTTCTCATTGGACTTTAGCTAGTGTCTGCAATGGCTGCTGACATGATTAGTGTACTTAGAATCAAGGCCGGGACGATATATTCTCAGGTCTAAAACAATTTTGATATGGATTCTTCATAAAATTAATAAAAACTAATTGATAATTAAATTAGAGACTTATAAAAATTAAAATAGTTTTTTCTCTTACAATATTTGAACTCTATTTTAAGAGTGGTTGTGAATCTAAACCAATACAATGATCTAATGAATCCAATTCAATTGAAATAAAAAATATAAAATTGGATTGGTTTGAACTATTTGATCCAATCGGATTTGACAATTGAAAATCCAATTAATTTTGTTTAGATAGATTTTGATTTTTAGGAACCGAACCAATCCAAATCAATCCATCTTATTAATTTATTATTATTATTATTATTATTTTGGATTATCAAATAAGGGATACTAGTAAAAGATAAAGAAGGGATAAGTGATCATTCAACAATGTTTTTTTTGTTTGAAACGCACTTATTCATTCGGTATCAAAGGAGGAAAATGAAACTCAAGTTTCTTTTTTTTGGTCTCATAGTAAGTCTATCTCATTTGTGAAAGTTGATCACTTGGATTAGGATTTTGTGGAATTGTTTGTATCTAATAAAGATAAGTTAGTTATAACCCCTGACTTGTACATAAATTGGTTGTAAATAGATTAGCTTTATTAGGATAAGAAAAGTTTATCTCTTCAATTGCATAGTTTGTTACTTTATTTGTTACGGGAATATTGTAATAAAAAACGATTATATATTTGTTGCCAAGTGAATGAATAAAGGCATGCCATTGACCATAATTCAACATGGTATCAGAGCAAGAAAACGAAACAGTGAAGACTGACACCTTGAAGAAAACACATACTTCCGCGAGCATTACAATGCAGTCCATCACACCTTTATCTCCATATTATCTTGGAGCATCAGATAATCCAGGAACCCCACTGGTCACAGTGCTTCTAACAGGAGATAACTATCGCAATTGGGCACGTTCTATGAAAACAACAATGCGTGCAAAGACTAAACTTGGATTCATTGATGGTACTATCAAGAACCACCAACTAGATCTGCAGATTTATTTTACTGGGAGAAAGCTGATTCCATGGTTACTGCATGGATAATCAACTCCACCGATCCCTCACTACACGGAAGTATATCCCATGCCGCAACAACAAGAGATGTATGGGTTGACTTGGAAGAGCGATTTGCTCAAACAAACGCACCACATATTCACCAAGTATGGCGCAACTTATGTTTGATTCAATAAGAGTCCAACATGACTGTGACAGAGTTTTATACAAAGTTCAAAATCTTGTTTAGATGAACTTGCAAAATTGCAACCATTGCCGGAATGCACTTGCGGAGCTTCCAAGGAGTTGGCACAACAAGAGGAAGAGCAACGCGTCCACCTGTTTCTTGGAGGAATTGATAACGAACGCTACCATCATGTGAAGGGGACTTTGTTAAGTGATTCCAAACAAGAAATAGTTGCCGCTTTTCATGTAGCCAATTTCAACAGATGCAAGGGCCGTGATGGTCCACGTCCAAAATGTGATCACTGTGGTAAGATTGGACACGAAAAGGCCAGATGCTTCGAGCTGGTCGACTATCCACAAAACTGGGAATCACTAAAGCCAAAAGGCAAATATCCAGGGGGAGCTCGACTTGCTTGGGCTGGGTACAATCATGATCACGCCGCAAACATGGAGGGAGGAACTAGCAACCATGCTAAGAAGAATGATCAATTAGATCATATGTCTGGTAATCATTTAAATTATAACAATGATAGGTGGGTCTTGGATAGTAGAGCATCACACCATATGACACCCACATATTCCATTCTCAAAGATTTACGTGACTTAGATGAGCCACTACACATCATAATTCCCACTGGGGATGCTGTCTTGGTGAAAAAGATTGGCACTGTGCAATTGGCAAATTATATCAAATTGATAGATGTTCTCTATATTCCACAATTTATAGTTGCAATTTGATCTCTATTCATAAGTTGACTTGTGATTTAAATTGTATGGTGACTTATTTTTCTGATAATTGTGTGATACAGGACCAAGCAATGAAGAGGAAGATTGGGTCCGGTGATTTGTGTGATGGAGTCTATGTTCTTAGAATGGCAAATCAGGGATCATCTCTAGCTGCACAACCTCAAGATGCAATTGTTCTTTGGCATGCAATAATGGGTCACCCATCTAATAAAGTATTATTAAAGATGTCTAGTAGTTTGAATTTCAGTTTAGATGAAAACAAATTGGAAGGATGTGATGTGTGTCACCAGTCCAAACAGTGTATGCTTCCTTTTTCTCTCAGTAATAATAAAGCAGTTCAAGCATTTGAATTAATCCATTGTGACTTATGGGGGAGATATGCTACAAAATCACACAATGGGTCACATTATTTTCTCACCATAGTAGATGATTTTACTCATGCGGTATGGGTTTATCTTATCAAAGAGAAATTAGAAACTCCCAATATGATCATTAATTTTTGTAAATTAATTGAAATATAGTTTGATAAGAAGGTGAAGGTTTTTCGTAATGATAATGGTACAGAATTTACAAATACAAGAATCCAGTCATTCTTTCAAGACGAAGGAATTGTTCATCAGGTGTCTTGTGTGGTACGACCACAACAAAATGGTCGTGTGGAACATAAACACAGACATATTTTAAATGTGGCACGTGCACTAAGATTTCATGTCAATTTACCACTATCCTTTTGGGGGGAGTGTGTTCTTACTGCTACACACATCATTAATAGAACACCCACATCAACAAATGGAGGATTAACACCATATGAGATGCTTTTTGGGAAAACCCCGTTATTTGATCACTTGCAAGTTTTTGGGTGTCTATGTTACATGAAAACTCCTTTGAAACCTGATGATAAATTTGCTACTCGAGCTCATAAATGTATATTTGTAGGTTATCCTACTGATCAAAAAGAGTGGCGTGTTTACAACTTGGATACCAAGAAATTCTCAACATCCAGGGATATTATCTTCTATGAAAGGATTTTTCCTTATGCTCAAGGACAATTACTGCATGAGATGACTGTGTTTCCATACAATCCTGCTACAGTTTCACCGCTAGAGGACCATCCAATGTGCCACATGTTGATATCTAATGAACCATGCATGTCTTCTTCTCCGTTTGTGCAGCACGAGGACAACTTGATGATGACATCTTCCTTAGTACGACACGAGACTGACCAAATAGTGACTAGTCCTTGCCAAGTGATAACTGAAGCTCTTTCACCTGGTCAAGATGAGTCTAAAAACTTCCATGTGAACATATCCAGGGAAACGCATAACTCTCCGAGTCTCACCCAACTGGCACCCCGCAACAGGAAACCTCCAGGATAGCTCAAAGATTATTTTTGCCATTTTGCTATACAAAACTCTACACACAATCCACCAAGCTCAACGTCCACTTCATGTAAGCTTTATCCTATTTCTCAATATATTAGTCTTGATAATTTTTCACCATCATACAAAGCCTTTCTTGCAGTCATCATGATTCATGATGAGCCCAAATATTTTTCTCAAGCAATAAAACAACCAGAGTGGCGTAAAGCAATGTAAGTAGAGTTAAAGGCACTTGATGATAATAAAACCTGGACTTTGGAATCTCTTCCAAAGGGAAAAAGACTGATAGGTTGTAAATGGGTCTATAAACTCAAACACAAAGCCAATGGAGAGATTGATAAATATAAGGAACGTTTAGTTGCCAAGGGTTATACCCAAGTTGAAGGGGAAGACTTCACAATAACGTTTGCTCCAGTCGCAAAAATGACTACAGTACGTTGCCTAATCACCACTGCTGCAGCCAAAGGTTGGGAACTCCATCAAATGGATGTTACTAATGCATTTCTACATGGGGATTTAAGTGAAGAAGTTTACATGGCTATCCCTCCTGGATATGAAGTCTCTGACAAAAGGCTTGTGTGTTGCCTTCATAAATTCCTTTATGGATTAAGTCAAGCATCACGTAGCTGGTATGCAAAACTATCACAAGCACTGATAAAATTTGGCTTCAATCAATGCCACTCAGATCACAGCTTGTTCACATACTCTTCAAGAAGTATATTTCTTGTCACACTAATATATGTAGATGACTTAATCATTGCTGGAAATGATTCTAATGTATGTGCCTCCTTTAAGCAATATTTGAACTAGTGTTTTCATATGAAAGATCTTGGGACACTTACATATTTTCTTGGTCTAGAACTGTCTCGTGGCAATACAGGTTTCTTTTCATGTCAACGAAAATATACACTTGACATTTTAAAAGAAAGTGGAATGTTAGATTGTAAGCCTACTACTTTTCCCATGGAGCAAAATCACAACTTGGCTAGTGATAAAGGGAAATTGTTTTCAGATCCTCCTCAGTATAGGCGCCTCATTGGTCGATTCATTTACTTAACAATCACCAGACCAAAAATTACTTACTTTGTTCACATCCTAAGTTAGTTCATGCAAGATCCACGACAACCACACTGGGAGGCAGCAATCCACATCCTTAGATATTTAAAGTCATATCCAGGTCAAGGCATCCTCATACCACGTCATAATGATTTAAATCTTGAAGGATTTTGTGATCCAGATTGGGCTTCTTGTCCAACCAATAGACGGTCGATTTCAGGTTATCTTATGAAACTTGGATCTGTGCCCATTTCATGGAAAACAAAGAAGCAAACCACTATTTCACGTTCCTCCAATGAAGCTGAATATAGAGCAATGACACATGCTACCAGTGAAATTATCTGGTTAAGAGGATTATTATTTTCTCTTCAAGTTCCTTGTTGTGATTCTACAATTTTGCATTGCGATAATCAGTTAGCTATCCACATAGCTAACAACCCAGTTTTCCATGAAAGAACCAAACACATAGAAGTGGATTGCCATTTTATTCAGGAACACATTCAATCAGGCACCATTTTTGCATCATATCTTCATACAAGGCAACAACTTGCAGATATTTTTGATGAGATTTTCAAAACGGATGTCCAAACCATCTGTGGGCAAGATCAAATTTTTTTGGGTTCCTACAGTTGACGACTCCACTAGGGAAGTTTAAAGAGGGTCAGACCCAAATATGAGATAAAATTAGTAAAATAAGAATAATAATTCAAATATTTTTTCCCCTTTACATTGTTTGTTTTATTAGTTTGGCTTTCATATCTGTATGTTTGTTTAAATTCCGCACCTGTTTGAAATAAACAATTGTATACAAACCTTTGCACATAATAGTTACCTCTATACCCGGGGGCATGAGCATGTAAACATAGGGAGTGGTTTGTTGAGATTCATGGATGATGAATCAAGTTCTAAGAGTTTTGATGATAAAAAAAGTTCTGAGAATCTTAAAGATAACAAAGGACATAAGCTAATGAAGACATGAAGATCACGAAAGAAATATGTAATAGGAGTAGTTTATGTGTTCTTATATGTTGAGTTGCCTTGTTGAGTTTATTGTTTATGTATGTGTGTGCTTTGTGCATGAGTTGATCTTAATCCAAATGGTCTAAGAATGAGTATAATGATGTTTAAAAGTAATTTGGAAAGTTTTTGAAGTGTGAAATCAAATTTTTGAAAATCAACTCAAAATAATCGATTGTTCCAACAAGAGGTTGAGAGAACCTTGTAATAATCGATTATCTGTGAAATAATCGATTATTCTAGAAGGTACTCTCTGGAATAACCGATTATCCTGCAAAATAATTGATTATTCTGTTCTTGAGTGATTTCCAAAATTCATGAAGAACAAAATAATCGATTATCCCTAAAAATAATCGATTATCTGGGTCTGGAAAACTTTATAAACAGTTCTCACACTTTGAAACAAGTACACATAGAATAGAAGAGAGTAAACAATTGATTTTGTGAAGTCTTTGTGACCTTCTTGGAGTGTTTTCCTTGTGAAACCAAGAAGAAAAACATTTTGTGAACTACTTTGAGAGAAATCATCATCATCACTACATTCTTGGAAAGAAGGATTAAGATTGGTTAAGAGTTCACAGTCTGATTTGTTCAACTTCTAGGTGAATTCGTTCCTTTAAACTTTTGTGTAATGTGTTAAGAAAATCTTGAGTAGGTGTCTCAAGTGGTAAGGAATTCTTGTAGTGGGTTTCTACAAGAAGTGCTTTCTTGGGTGCCAGAAAGTGTCTATCTTGAGTGTTGAAGTGTGTGCATGTGTGGTGTGCTTGTAAAACTTCTTCATTGAGATAGTGGAACAAATCTTGATCAAGTTATGATTGAGGACTGGATGTAGGTCTCATGCGAGTGGCTGAACCGGATAAAACATTTTGCACTCTTCTCTCATCCTTATCTCTTACATTGAACAATCTTTAATTAAACGTTAAAATGGTTGGCCTTGACTAATATGCTTGTATGATTAAAAATGGTTTAAGCTAAAACATAACCACTTCATATTAGTTGTTCTTAAATAGAATTCAATAAAGATTAAGCAAGAACTCATATAGGAGTCATTCCCATTTACAAGAGGTTCAAGAAACTTCATTAAAAATTTGTATTAGAAAAGTTTTAATTGAAATAAAGATCCTTAAACTCTGATAAAATTTTTAAGTGTCATTGAATCCAATTCACCCCTCTCTTGGATTGAGCCATTCTTTTCTATCAAGGTTAACATACGATTGACCCAAGAATGGCCTTAAGCCTACGAGCTTTGTCAAAAATCACACTCAAGGTGATAACCGGTTACTCTAGCCCGAAATACTATGTCAGACCTTAGAGTTTGTTAGGTGACGGCGACAAAGATACTAGGTCCCTATAATGGGGGCACCTTGGGAGCCTTTAAAGACTAGTTAGTGAGGATAATTAGAACCATCCTATACAACACACTTTCTTTGATAGGGACCCCAAACCATGGATTTGAACGTGATTGTTCATAGGTGTACGTTTATTGAGCATGTGTGTGCACATTTTTTTGTATACATTATTTGTTTTAGGATTGGAATTCTAAGCAAACAACAAATAATAATAAAAAATAAAGGAATTAATACCCTCTTGTACATCCTTATGTCATCATCTCATTAAGCATCACGTAGGTAGTTTTTTTTTTTTTTTTATAAAAAAATGATGAATAAATTGTCTTTACCATGCATCATCTCCTCTTAGATAATGGAAACATGATAAAGCTTAGGCGAAAAAAAAATGCATTTTAGACTAGCTCATTTATTCCCATTCGTTTTATTCTATTAGATGATATGGAAGAATTAGGTAGAAATATGCACATACAGTTTAGAAAGGTGAATGTCTTAAAATATTTCATGCCTAAGATAGACAGTATCTGCTCTCTAAAAAAAGGTCCAAATGGATTTTGAAAGATACTATGGTAGGGCCTTTTCGATATTTATTAAGGCAAGACTTCTTGGAGTCTAGTTTACACTATTTGCGAAAGCCCATTAGAATGAAAATTCCTAAAAGATGTTCTAAGCAAAATTTGGGGCAAATTATGATCTCACAAAAAAACAAACAGTGCAGATTTAGGCTCTAATAATGCATGTTTTGCATAGACATCAACCACCTTTTGGTTTCTTTAGTTTTTTGCGATACTGTCAAAATCTGTTAAAAAACATTAAGCATCCACCGATAAACAAATCAATGAGATTGATAAATAAGTAATCAAGCCCATTCTTCCTTTAGAACACATTCTTCCTTGTAAATAAATAAATAAGTGTAAAAAGGGAAATTGACCTATGCATATTACTAAGTGGAGTGTAAGCTGATAGTAATCAAGCCCGCACTCTAGAGCGGGGCACACTTAATGATTAAACCAGTTACAATCCAAGTGGGTAATGGGGAAGAAACGTCGAAACAGTTAACTATCAAGATGTGACACCCATTCTACCCTAATATACACAATAAAGTAAATTAAGGAAATATTAATTTAACATAGGTAAAATGGTTCACATGTCCAAAAGAAAATACATTTCCAATCTGATCAATTTAAAATAAAGTTTAGAAAGCAAATAAGTTCGTAAATAGTTTCAAAGGAAATGTAAAAACTCCAATTACAATAAATAAAAATTAAAGTCCTAAAAGACCCTTGCCTCGATGTTACACTATCAGAGCACTCCCATGACTCAATTATTGGCACCTTAAATGCCACTCATGTCCACATCTTCCTCACCTAAAAACAACCACAAATGTATGGTGAGAAAAGAAAATAATTATATAGAAAGCACATCACAAAATTCCGCAAAACAATCTCAAAGCAATATATTCCATAAACACAACATTCATCATTCAAACATGTTCAACATCATTTCTCAAATCCACATGTTCAACATCATTTCTCAAATCCACATATTCCATCATCTCATCATAATCCACATATGTAC